TTTGTGCCAGTACCATGCTGTTTTTATTGTTATTGCTTTGTAATATAGTTTGAAGTTGGGTATTATGAAACCACCAGCATTGCTCTTTTTGCTGAGTATTGCCTTGGCTATTCGTGGTCTCTTGTGTTTTCAAATGAACTTCAAGGTAGATTTTTCAATCACTGTGATGAAAGTCATTGAGATTTTGATGAGAATTGCATTAAACATGTAGATTGCTTTTGGTAGTATGGCCATTTTTACTATGTTGATTCTTCCAGTCCATGAGCATGGGAGATCTTTCTATCTTCTGTAGTCTTCCTCAATCTCTTTCTTCAGGGGTTTGTAATTCTCCTTGTAGAGGTCATTGACATCTTTTGTTAAGTTTACTTCTAGGTATTTGATTATTTTTGAGGCTATTGTAAGTGGAATTATTTCCATATATTCCATATCAGTTTGTTTATTGTTGGTGTGTAGAAAATCTACTGATTTTTGTAAGTTGATTTTGTATCCTTCCACCTTGCTATAGCTGTTTATGGTGTCTAATAGTTTTTGGATAGAGTTTTTTGGGTCTTTAAGGTGTAGATCATATCATCTGCAAATAGGGATATTTTGAGTTTCTTTATCTATTTGTATTCCTTTTATTTCTTCTTCTTGTCTAATTGCTCTGGTAGGAAATTCCAGTACTATGTTGAAAAGGAGTGGGGATAGTGGGCACCCTTGTCTCATTCCTGACAGCACAGGCTGTTCTTTTAGTAAATCATGGTGTGGAGAAGACTTCCACAAGCTAGGGGTTCAGAGTGCTGATGTTTTAGCTCTCCCTGGTGCTTTACCTCAGCCATGTGTGTCTCCAGCGTCTTAGCAAAGTCCCTGGTTCATGGAGCTCACGTGGTCTGTGGCTATGTCCCAGTTGCCATCTTGATCAGTCTGAAGATTGTTCTTTGTTCCCAGGAAATATTCTCTGATGTCACACGTTAGCCACTTTGGCACAGAGGCTTTACAGTGTGGGGAAGTAAAAATCTTGTCTTCTCTTTCCCTGATGCCATCAGCGTAAATGTGACTATGTTTAAGCCAGCAGTCTTAGTGTGGCCTTGGGACCCCTGAAACTAAATGTGTCAGGTAAGGATACTCAGGCTTTCTTATGGTGATAACAAGTTGGTGTTGTGCAAAAGAGCTAAGGTTCCTGCTTATAGTTTGTGGATCATCCTGTTGAGAATCCTGCAGTTGTTAGTTCATTTCTTCCAGAGTTGGCCTGTGAAAAGCTTTTGTATGCATTATGTGACATGTCCATCCCTTCTGTAAACTTTTCCTGTTTGAAGCAACCATAAAGATTTTGTTCACCTTTACAGTGACTTTTTTGGAAAGGGGAGTTTGTAAGTTGTAAAATGTAAGTCATTGCCCATGTCCTACTGGAAATAACTGCTTCTGAAAATTATCTTACAATGCTAGAGATAAGTTGACTTGTGAGGAGGGGCATCACTTTTTACCCAAAGTACAAAGATATTCTTTACTGTCTTGTAAAAGATTATAGTTTTGCCTTTCACATTTGTCTCTAGGCTGTCCTGAACTGATTTTCATGAAAATTGAGGTAGAAATTCACTGTAAGAATTTTTCCTTATGTGTAAGTTCATCTTATAAATTTACTGAAGAGCTCATCTTTTTTTCTCATTGATCTGTTAACATTCTTTTGTTAGTCCACTTTGTAACTGTGGCTGTTTTTTTTCTGACTCACTGCTAAATTTGTGACACTACTATACAATCTTAATTATTACAATTTTTCCAAAGGTCTTTATAAGGGGCTGGGTTGTGACTCAAGTGGTAGACTGGTAGACTGCCTGCCCTACAGGTGTGAAGCCCTGAGTTAAAACCCCAGTAGTTCCAAAAAAAAAAAAAAAAAAAAGGTCTTAGTGAAAACAAAGCTGTCTCTAAATTTTGATGTTATCCTATCACACCTCCAATGTCACTACCAAATTTTTCTTCTTCAGGAGTGTCTTGGCAATTTTAGTCAATTGCTCATCCATACAATTTATAGAAGTAGACTGACAAGTTGTAAATCAAGTAGGCATTGCTGGAATTTTGTTTGATTTGTATTGAAAATTAAGGATTAATGAATTTTTCCTTATGTGTAAGTTCATCTTATAAATTTACTGAAGAGCTCATCTTTTTTTCTCATTGATCTGTTAACATTCTTTTGTTAGTCCACTTTGTAACTGTGGCTGTTTTTTTTCTGACTCACTGCTAAATTTGTGACACTACTATACAATCTTAATTATTACAATTTTTCCAAAGGTCTTTATAAGGGGCTGGGTTGTGACTCAAGTGGTAGACTGGTAGACTGCCTGCCCTACAGGTGTGAAGCCCTGAGTTAAAACCCCAGTAGTTCCAAAAAAAAAAAAAAAAAAGGTCTTAGTGAAAACAAAGCTGTCTCTAAATTTTGATGTTATCCTATCACACCTCCAATGTCACTACCAAATTTTTCTTCTTCAGGAGTGTCTTGGCAATTTTAGTCATTTGCTCATCCATACAATTTATAGAAGTAGACTGACAAGTTGTAAATCAAGTAAGGCATGCTGGAATTTTGATTTGATTTGTATTGAAATTAAGGATTAATTTTTTGACCCATGTAACCTTTATAATGTTAGGTCTTCCAGTCCATGAACATGTTATAGCTCTCCACTTAATTAGGCCTTTGAAATGTCTTTTAATAAAGTTTTATAATTTTCTCCATAAATGTCTTTTGTTAGTATTTCCTAGAAAATTTATACTATTTAATGTTATTATATCTGGTATGTTTTTGATGACATCTTAAATGCTTGTCAAACATTTTCTACAGCCCTATGAGTGGAATAATATTACTATTCTCATTTAACTTTAGTGAAACCCAGACAAGCAGGTTTAAGTACCTTGCCCTGAAATTATAGTTGGTAAAATCCAGAATAAGAGCCAGGTCTGTAAATCCAGGGCCTAGAAATCTCATTTTTTAAAAGCTTGAAGATCACTAGTATAATCTTTAACTACAACCCATCTTCCCTTCCCCCCACCCCCCCAAAACTGGTGTTTGTGAATAAACAAACTTTCAAGATACCATTAGGATACCATCAAATGCCAAGTAATGATAATATATTCTACAAGCTAAACCATTGTAATTTCCAATACAAAAGGGCAGTTATGAAATGATAGGGGTAAAATAGTCATGGAATTTAGAATTTTAGGTTATCTCCAGTGACAAAAACTTTGAAGGCATGTTGTGTCTGCATAAGGATGCTAATTTTGTAGATTAATTCCTGTAATGGGAGTCAGATGGAAGGAATAACTTCCAATGTTCTATAGGACAGATAACTATGGTTGACAAAAAACTATTTTAAAATTGTTAGCAGAGAGGATTTTAAATGTTTTACAACACAAAGAAATGTCAAATGTCTGAGGTGACAGAAATGCTAGTTACCCTGACCTGAGCATTATACATTGTATACATGCACTAAAATGTACCGCTGCCCCATAAATATGTGCAGTTATGTCAATTAAAAATAAAAATAAATTTATAAAAAAAAGAAAATGCAGCCTTCTGGGAAATGTAGCTTTCCCAGTTACATGGAGAGAACAGAACATGATACTGGGTGGACATACAGATATCAACAATTCTGAGTTGAAAGCACTGCAGAAGAGTTTGACTGACCGTAAAGCTGCAGCAATGTCCTAAGGATATGTTGATATTTCACTGTTTTGTTTCTTTATGTGTATATGCAAAGTTACATGACAAACATCTACGTTTAAATGTAACTAAGAGATATCCAAAAAATACAGTTTCATGTAACTAACAAAGCAATGTGTCATACTTTATTCATAGTATTTTCTTCTTAAAACATAAAATAGTGATTTTTATAATTAATAGCACTTTAGGTAAAATTAGTCTTGAACATTTATGAACACCAACATATAACATCCTCTGAACCTCTGTAAGAAAATTAATAAATGTTAAACAATAACTACATCATATTTTATTTTTCCTTGGGGAAAAAGGAAAAAAATGCACATAAATGAGGGTTTTAGATATCTCAGTTCTAGCTTATCAGTTATTTTTTATGTCAATATACAAACAAAATTGGCAAAGACCAGTTCTTTTTCCAATTTAATTTAAAACACAAAAGTCTGGCAAATCTTGTCTCTAATTAGACTTTGATATGAAGACAATTCACTTATGTGCTTATTCCAAAATGGGAACACATAACCTGTGATTGCAGCCTAATTTTTATTTCCTTAAAGCTATTTATCATCTTTGCATTATCTCAGTTTTTATATTTTTCTGCCTCACTCCTGCTGTCCACTTTTTGGCCTCAGCACTGCAACTGGTATGTGGGCAAAAATATAAGAAATGGAAAGGAAAATCAGCCCTGGCAATTTAACTATTGTGTTAGAGGGATTTTTTATTCTTTTTTTGTTGTGCTGGGTGGGGGTACATCATGACATTTACAAAGGTTCTTACAATGTAGCAAATATACTTGAATTCATCCCCTGAAAGTAATGTCCATGGTGAAATTACATGATTAGCAGTAAAATCACAATAATTATTCCTACCACATTTCCTACAGTTAACTGAGATTTTATATATATACATATGTGTGTGTGGGGTGTTCCTGTGGTAGGGAACTTCAGAGAAAATTTCTAAGCTATGCCAACACATGTTCAAGAGTATGTAAATAATACATATATACTTTATTTTGATAAGATAAAAAATGAGCTACAATTTTATAGTTCTTTGCACATAGTTATTTGCAACTAAAATAATCATGATGTATTTAGTATGAATTTGTCAGCTATGGGTTTCCAAAAATAGATTTTTATGTTATCCTTGCAGTACTCAAAGTCTCTGTAAAATGCCATTTTATTAGCTTATAAAAACAGGACTACATTTGGAAAGAGAATTGCCCATAATCCTTAAAAGTTTATTGAAATCACAGTTTAAACAAGATGGAAAAATTTTAAAGGTAGAAAATCACCTTCAAAACTAGTAGAGTATTATGTGAATAAATCAGTGCTGTAGAAACCCATCTTTTAAAAATGGTGAAAAACATCCCAAAGAATCTCTCTTTTTGAACTTAGTCTTGGAATATTCTTCCATCAAAGTTTATTTGTATTTTTGTTATTATTATGCTATAGCAATACAATTTTCAGTATTTCACTATAGTAAAACAAAGTATACAGAAAACTCTGATATCTGCAATCTTGTTCAAAGAAAGGCAAAGAATATAGTATTTAAGATATCTCTGAATAATAAGATTGTTTTTTATTTAAACTAATGTCTAGAAAAATTTGCTCCCTATAAGCTATCATGTCTTCTACATCTTTGTAAGCAAGCATTTCTTCAATGGACAACAGCTTAAAGCTACTCAGACTGAATGGTGAATTGTTCTTCACAGCATTTAACATATTTAGGGATGCTGTAACTGACTCACTCAAAGAAGAACAAACTGGAAAAATGCGAGCTGTCCACAAACTCAGACCTGTCTTACTTCCCCAGAATAGTTCCTCTGTAACTTTCAGATTCCAAATATCTAAGCATGACAGGAAACAGACTCCAAAGAATTGAAGTAAGTTTATATCTAACAATGTCTTAACATTGCTTTTCAAGTTGTCTTGCACTCCAAATGCCATAGTTGAATACTTTAAGTGTCCATTTACCTTTAAGCTTAAGGAACACACAAAAGAATATGCAGGTAGGACAGTTTTTGTTATGATATTAGAATTGCTAACAATGCAGTTTTCCCCAATGGACACATCAGGCCCCAATCTGGAATACTCTATAACTGAGCCAGGTGCCACAGAGCATCTTGAATTCAGTATACTTTGAATGATACAGGATGTTTTACCAGACCACTGTGGAATATCTGGAAGGATGCTGAAAGCTATGGATTGTAAGCGAAGCTCTGATTTTAAACTGCTATTTGAAGTAAAATGAAATAAATATTCTTCAGTTGTTCCAATGTGATAAAATTTGGAGTTATTAAGAACAACAACATTTAGTGGTGTTCCTTTAAGAAGATGAAATAGTTTCTGCCTCATATCTACCAACTCTGATTCTTCTTTAGTAACATTTGATGTATTTCTGGTGTACTCCTCAGTTGCTCCAGGTCCCAATGCCTGCAGAAAGTCACCATATGCATCTATTTCACAGTTCAGTGTGCCTATTTTTTCATAAAAAGCAAGTAACTTTCTTGCTGATTTATGATCCATATAAAATAGGCTATCTGTATAGACATATTCAGAGTCTAACTGAAGATAAGCAGTGTCACCCCTACTGAAGTCCTGTTCCCTGAAATTTCCAGGTCTACACACAGCATTAAACTGATGCATCTTTTCTATGCTGGGCTTGTGAAGGAAACGATGGCAACATCTGTATTCCAGGTCTCTATGTTTTAAGTGACTAAAAGAATCTAAGACAAATACTCCATGTGTGGTACCCACAGTCAAACTCGAAGGATGAGCTAAAGCAGTAAAGCCAGGTTTGTCAAACCTAATACACTCAAACTCTCTAATACTATAAAGTTCAATATCATCTGCACAGGTAACCAAAATCCCAGGATTCATATGTGAGGGGAAATCAATGTACATGGCTAGTTTTAATTCCAGCATCTGATAAATGGGATTACCAAGTGGTAAAGCAGTGAAAATTTTCCCCAGAGCACTTGCATTTGGAAGGCGTTGACTGTAGCCACCTATTAAAAGCAAAACAAAACAAAACAAAAAAATTTTAAATGTGGTGTTTATATGATTTTTAAAATCTGGGGGTGTCAGTTATAATCCAAAACATTTAATATTTAATATTTACCATGCGTTAGGGAAGTTCAGGAAAGAATAATGAAATCCAGATTAAAAATTCAAGAGTAAATCTCCTATAGCAATTTGATATAAAAATGCAGTTTTAAAGATCCTAATAAACTACAGAGTGGTGGCCTGTTTTTATCAATTGTATAATAAGTAAAAAGAAGCATGGGCTGAAACTTGGGTCATCTATCTACATTTTAAACAATAAATTTTAACCATGTTTATACTTAAACATTAAAAATTTATTTCATAGGAAAGAAGTTACAAAATACTAATACAATATAACAATTTCAAAATATAATTCCCATTAAAACTTACTTCTTCAAACGATTATATACATGCAAAACTAAATTTATTTAAGAACATTTAAAAATTTATTCTTTTTCATTTAAACAGGCTTTTTTCCTTCTAAGATGAACATAACTTTTTCATTACTTGAAAAGTGTATTCTCTTAAATACATTAAACATCTTGCCTCATTTTTATATAAATAAAAATTAAAGCAAAAGGCCAGATTTATATTATATTAAGACACAGATAAAAATAAGTTCATACCTAGTTCACCACTCTTTAGCCATTTACCTCTGAACTTACTCTAAATCAGCAAATGTGGAATAATACCTGCTTTATTATGTTTTATGAGCTCAACAGTACATAAAAAGTTCTAGGCACATAGTACATTGTTCAATATATGACAGCTAATAATAAATTTCTATTTTTCCCCTTTTCAAAGAGTAGCCAATGGTAAAGTTTGTCATTAAAAGAATTATCTAGTCCTCAGTATCTACAGAGATTGGTTTAGTTCCCCAGGCAGATACCCAAATCTGAGGATGCTTAAGCTTTTTATACACAAGGGCACAGAATTTTCATGTAGTCTCCACATATCCTCCTGAATATTTAAATCATCTCTAGACTACTTATAATACCCAATGCAA